ATGGTTTATATTTGCACAATCTAGATGTAAGATGAGATGTTCCAATTTTCCATCTAGATGGCCATCTAAGATGGTTTCATCTAGATGTCGGCAAACACTGCGCACAGGTATGTATATAATTAAAATTCCAAATTATATAAAAATTTTAAATTATATAAAAATTACTATTTTTTAATTTGTAGATATAATTTTTGCCACGTTGTTGTATGAACAAGCGAAAAAATATAAAAAACAGCCAAATACACAAATTATTAATGCTGGTAATAAAAATATACACAATAATAATCATATTGTATAAGTTCATAATGTATGTAGAATTATTTTATTTATTTCAGCAAGTACTAGTACTGGAAACCTAACCTCTACAAAGATCTCTGATGTTGAATGTACAGAAGGTAAATATAATGGATATTAATATGTAAATTTGCATATAAATATTTAAAAGATTTAAAAAATTCTATTTGTTTCTATTTATGATATAGATAAATATATATGGAAAAGGAATGAAACAATATTATTGTTACAAACATATGGTGAGCATGAAAATGAGTTACATAATGGAAAGCAAACTGTAAAACAATACTGGGAAAAAATCGCAAAAATAATGCAAGAAAAGGGCTACAGTGTAACAGGATTTAAATGTTCGACAAAATTTCAAGCCCTTAAACGACAATATAAATGTGTTTTGGATCATAATAAAAAAAGCTTAAATAATAGAAAAGAATGGGAATACTTCAAGGTAATGAGAATATTTCAAACATTCTTAAAATTTCATTTTAAGATATATGACTGTAATATATGGTATATTTATACATTAATTAAACATGCACTTCATATCATGCAAGAATTATTTGAAAAAAAACCGTGGGTTCAGCCTTTGGCAGTTGCAGGATCACATGTAGAAACGGAAGAAAAGGAAAATATATTGGAAAATAAACCAGAAAAAAGTAAAGCATATAATATTGTATATAAAAATGTATATGTACAAACAAAATACGTGAGATATAAAATAAACATCTTTGATGATTGATAATTATAATTTCAGGTAATAAAAAGAGGAAAGTAAAAGATCTTGTAGAAGATTACATATCACAAAGTAAAGAAGAACGAAAATATCAAAGAGAAATTAGGGCTAAGCAACATGAAGAAAAAATGCAGTCTATTAAAAGAATAGAGAATTTAGTGGAAAAAATGTTACAACAAGAAAAAAGCAATTGTTTCTCAGGATTTATTGAATGCCTGCCAAATTTATGTTGTCTACAGAGTTGTGGTTGTAATAATTCAAATAAAAATTTGAAAGTATTCCGTTTCATTCTGAAATAACAAAATATATTACAATAGATCAACAGCTTTCTTTTAAATTATCTGTATGTCTTTAGTTTTAATTAAATCTGAGTGTATCATATATCAAATGACATAAAAATTGTACAATTAATTAAAATTGCTTAAGAAATTATTAATATTCGATTTGCAAATAAGAAACCTTAATTTATTAATAATATATTTTTCAATAATATATAATATAATTAATTAAAATAATTATCTCTATTTATAATGATTGATTATTACTAATAATGAATTTATTATATAGTGATAATTATGTATTTTAATCATATCACTATATAAATAATTTAAATAAGTAGGAAAGTGCC